GAGTTAGCCTACACATTATTCATGCATGCATTTCAACGTTGTTGTATTTCAGTCCAGAAACATGGATTGAAGTGTTAGCAGCTTGGAGAGCTAGCCTACATCTGCTTTCTAACTACATACTAAAAGCATCTACGCATTTCCCTCGCGTTTACATTACTTGTTTACCGCGTTTAGTCTATAAATGAGTGGATATCAAGGGCATTTATATGCTTAAGGGGGAAGCAACATGCAGGACATTTCTCATTTGTAGTTTCTTGAGGCAGCAAGCAGTCTTTTTTATTTTTACAATCAATACTGCAGCTCACACACCTCTAAAACTGAAATAAAAGCACTGATTCCAGATTAAAACAACATGTTTAAAATTAAATGCAGATTACACTTGGCCTCTTGATGCACAAGCAAAATGTAAAGACAAATGTACACATATTTGTCTGCGTAAATAAATAAATATACTGTATTTTGGTTGAATAAAAGCTCCAGGATTATGGCATGCAGGATCTATAAAAGATATTCATTGTTGCTTTTTGTCAAACGAATTTGACAGTTTTCATTATTAAAATAAAAACTAAACAATAACGATTATTTCTGGAGAGGTTCAGAACATTCATCATTTGATCAAACACCCCACTGCATATAAATGTCATCAATTGACATTTCAATATCATCGTTTTTTAAAGCTGTAGGCAAGTAACGGTTCACAAAACTTCTTCAATATTCGGAAAATATTCAATATTTTAATATAAGTAAATGTCATTAAATGTTTGTTTGCTGTGTATAACCCACTGGTCCTACTGCATCCAACCCGCTCTGAGCTGGGATCGAACCGGCGATTCCTTGTATGGGAGTCGGTTGCTCTAACAAGGAGGTTAAGACCATGGCCTCTAGTGTCTGTCTAGAGCACCCTTAGAGGTCAGGGGAGTGAGGTTTACCAGTATAGCACTTCGTTAGCTGGCCTTCGTTACACTCAACCCTCTAAACCTCACTTCCATCCCGGACGAGCCCCCAAGTGTAACCCACCGGTCCTACTGCACCCAACGCGCTCTGAGCTGGGATCGAACCGGCAATTCTTTGTATGGGAGTCGGTTGCTCTAACAAGGAGGTTAAGACCATGGCCTCTAGCATCTGTCGCTAGGACATCTTTTGAGGTCAGAGAAGTGAGGTTTACCTGCACAGCACTTTGCATATTTTTAGTTAACAACATGACATTTTAATATAAGTAAATGTCATTAAATGTTTGTTTGCTGTGTGTAACCCACCGGTCCTACCGGATCCATCCCGCTCTGAGCTGTGATCGAACCGGCGATTCTTTGAATGGGACTCAGTTGCTCTAACAAGGAGGTCAAGACTATGGCCTCTAGTGTCTGTCTAGAGCACCCTTAGAGGTCAGGGGAGTGTGGTTTACCTGCATAGCACTTCGCTAGCTGGCCTTCGTTATACTCAACCCTCTAAACCTCACTTCCATCCCGGACGAGCCCCCAAGTGTAACCCACGGGTCCTACTGCACTCAAACGGTTCTGAGCTGGGATCGAACTGGCGACTTTTTATTGTTTTTTGTATGGGAGTCGGTTGCTCTAACAAGGAGTTTAAGACCATGGCCTCTAGTGTCTTTCTAGAGCACACTTTGAGGTTGGAGGAGAAAGGTTTACCAGTATAGCACTTCGCTAGCTAGCCTTCGTTACACTCAATCGTCTAAACCTCAATTCCATTCCGGACGAGCCCCCACATGTAACCCTCTGGTCCTTCTGCACCCAACCCGCTCCTAGCTGGGATCAAATCGGTGATTTCTGGTATGCGTGTCAGTTGTTCTAACCAGGAGGTTAAGTCCATGGTCTCTAGTGTCTGTCTAGAGCACCTTTTGAGGTCAGAGGAGTGAGGTTCAGCTGCACAGCATTTCGTTAACTGGCCTTCGTTACACTCAACCCTCTAAACCTCACTTCCATCCCGGACGAGCCCCCAAATGTAACCCACCAGTCCTATTGCACCCAAATGGGTCTAAGCTGGGATCAAACTAGCGGTTGTTTTTGTATGGGAGTCGGTTGCTCGAACAAGGAGACTAAAGTCCATGGCCTCTAGTGTGGGTCATTTTTACACACATTTTTCTTCTTGTTTTGTTTAAATTTTTGACCCGTAAGTCAGTATGAGGGTTAAGGGAATAGAGGGCGATTTGGAATACAGCTTTGTTTTGAGGAATAAATCAAACATGTGACGCTGTGATTGCTCTGAAGCAGAGATTAGTCAATAGTGAAACACATTCACAGCCAACAGACTCAAGATCCAGCGTCTGCTTGCTTCTAAATCATCACTGCACCCTACTGAGTGATTAAAACAAGGGCATGGCAGAGAAACAACCTGGACGCTTTCCATTTGGCTTTCACTCAACAGCACATACTGTTTGAAAATATATATACACTGGGAAAAATGTAAAATATATCAGGTTTTTATGACAAATCTCCACCAATTATAATGATTTGTACTAACATTTTAGTTTAGTGCACCGTTACGGCCTGAGTTAAAGATCTAATGTCTTATTCAATGAGTGAATTACATAAATAAATACAATTTAATAAATAATATAAAATAAATATAAAATAAAAACTTCAAATAAAATAAAATAATATAAATAAATAAATACACAAATCATTAATAAAAATCTGACTTTTCCTTTGGCTTTCTCTTAATGACACATACTGGGGAAAAATGTGAAATATATCAGGTTTTTATGATAAATCTCCACCATTTTTAATTATTTGTACTGGTATTTTCAGCCATAGTTAAAGATCGAGTGCTGAATTCAGTGAGTGGAGTTAAATAAATAAATAAAAAAACTAAACATTTATCAAATTAAATAAAGTATAAATAAATAAATGCACAAAATAAATAAATAAATAAAAACTAACTTTTTTTGATTGTGACACATACTGTATGAGAATATATCCTGGGAAAAAATGTCACATAAATCAGGTTTTACTGATAAATCTTAACCAATTATAATGATTTGAGTGGAATTAAATTATTAAATACAATACAACTTAATAAATAAATAAATACACAATAAATAAATAAATAAATAAATAAATAAATAAATAAATACACAAATAATTTTAAAAAATCCCATTTTCCCTTTGGCTTTTACTCAGCGACTCATACTGTTTGAGAATGTATATATGTGTGTATATATGTGTGTGTGTATATATATATATATATATATATATATATATATATATATATATATATATATATATATATATATATATATATATATATATATATATATATATATATATATATACACACACACACACACACACACACACACAGACAC